TATATATATATTCTTTATGCGATACAGATATTTTTTTAAGCCCTCAACATAATTTGTGGTGGAATTTATAGAAACCTTTGTTATATATAAGAACTTGTAAAGTCTATGTAGGTCTGTTAGGGTATTCACTATTCGATATACACATTTTCATCAATCATGCTTGCTTCTTTTGTGCGCATTCTGGGTAGGGCTGTGCGCAAAAAAAAAAAAAAAGAAAAGAAAAACATTTGCACCCGTTGGCGCATTCCATGCCCAAAAAGCGAGCAGACAGAAAATGAATAGAGTTTGAACGACGCTTTCAAGTTCGAACTCGTTGACCTTTTGGCATGCATGGTCAAAGACATTGGATTAACGTGAAAACGCACCTCCACAACAGTTGCAGCTCGAATTAGAACTGCGCTACTACTAATTGATCAATTTGCTGGCATTTTGCGACATGCAAAGCCCATTCCAAATGAAGCTCATTTAAAAACAAAGCCTCGATTGCAGGCTATATAAATGTGGCTGACAGCTGCCATCGATCGCAAGTTCAATGGCAATCCATGTGGGACGTCAGTTGCTGTGCGCGGCACTTATTTTGCTGCTGCAGATGTGCATTAGCTGCGAGGCGCGGCCAAAGGTAAACATTTAATATATATTCCATGTGCAACTCAATGCGAGCCTTTACGAAATACAGGCTATGCCAGGGAATGATGGAGATGGCATCAACAATGGCGAGGACGAAGACGACGACTCCTCCTCAGAGGAGACCGTTGAGGACTCGAACGAGGGTCGCAGGCGTCGCCGTCGCGAGGCCAACGAACGTGCTGTCATACCGGGCCTGCCCGATCCCGCAACGATCATTAAGATCGCTCAGCTCTTCCAATCGGTGGGTGAACAGATTGTGCCCATTATCCTAGAGGCTCTGCTGCCCGTTAACGATGCGACCGCAGAGCGAACAGCTCGGGACTTGCAGTTCATGACGAAGCCCCAGCGCACTCTCGCTCTCAATTCAGAGGCACTGCAGCCGCAAGCTGTCTAAATTGTACGACTAACAACTTGTTTGGCTCGATAGCATTAAAGATGACGAAATGAAAGAAGTGTGCGTGTTTCAAACTCGATTTTTTACTTTGCTAAAAATATGTTGTATATTCATTATTGGTGATAGTATTGGTTTGGCTTGCATCGAATATCGACTCGCATTTTGGTATATTTTAATGAGAAGACTAGGCACTTTTTACTGCGTTTTTCTTTATTTTCTTTTTTGTATATATTCGAATGTCGTTTTGAATTCTTCTTTTGTCTTTTGTTTATTTCTGCGGGCTCACACTTAACCCACTTTTGTTGGCTTTAGCCTGATTCTGATTGTCCAGTTAGCTCTGACTTGGAAAAAATGGAATTTAACCATTATTATTATTATTGTATTACTACTGCTTTATAGCTTCAGCTAAAACAAAGTCCAAAAATGTTAGTTGATTTTTAACTAGCCCTATGTAATGGGCTTTTAATATTTTTCTGTGATTATGAACAACTGTCTTCTTTTTTTTTTTTTTTTAAATTGTATATATCTAAAAAAATTTTATTTTTAGAAAACGTCTATAAATATGCAGCATTATTATCTCTTATAGTTGCTTTATCCGCAGTAAATTCTGTCAATATTATATAGCGCTATCCGCATTTCGAGCTTGTATGTTCTCACGATAGAGGGCGAAGTTAAAAACAAGTTTTTACAGTCAACATATGCATGCGTAATAAAAAATTGTATTTGTTAAAATTATTGCATATTCTGGAATCATTTTTTAGACGTTTAAAACTCACTTTCTATCGAATTGAATACTTAATTACTCCAATGTGCTGTCACTTTTCTTTATAAATATCAAAATCAAAACAAGTTTTCCCTTTTATTTGAAAGGAATACAATATAAGGTCTTTCTTTATGCCGATATGAAAAAAACTTAATTTATTATTTTTGAAGAAAAATTATTGACATTAGAAGGAGAATTGCATTATGTTGGCTGACATAGTCTAGACGGTAATGGACACAAAATTTTCTATCGGCTTGCAATTTTGTTTCCCGACTCCAAGAAGTTTTGGGATGTTGTCTAAGGCTTTCGACAAGGGCTTATCGCAAAACAAATAGGAAGATATCATAACGTAGATGTCGGGCAGCTTTTTGACGGCAAAAGGGTACTTGGCTAAGAGCTCCCTTATTTGCTTCGCAATCGCTTTGATAACGTCTAGATACAAAAAGTTCCACTTAAAAATCAGTTCGCAGTTCGAGAAGGCCAGTAGGCGATCACATTTTATAATTTGACTGTTTGATGGTTTGTTGACCGCGGTCCCCGCCTGAGCATGGAGCAACAGGCACAGCACCACAACTATTATCATTCGCTGTCAATTATAAGGAATAATTGATTTCTATTATTTGTCTTCAATCACAGCTAGATATCACAGATCTTACCATCTTTCCTGAATGTCTCGAGTGTTATGTAGCCTTTGTGAAGATCACCATCATAGAAGTCGAATTTTACTTTACCATAACCAATTGAATGTTATGGTATTTTGCTCTGCTGATTAGTTCAAGTTCTCTGAGGAATATTTGTTCTCTTTAGCTGTACGAAAATGTATATTATATATATATTTATATATCTACGGCTCTCTAAATTTGCATTGTCTATAATAATTTATTCATATTTCAAGATACAGTCCAAAAGTATGCAACACTATGAATCTGTCGGCAGTATGCTGCTGAAAGATTACAGAGTTTCTCTTTCTTAACACTAGAGGGCGTTGATACATGGGAATTATTAGTTGACTCAGTCGGATTGTTTGGTTTTCGAGTATATTTAAATGTATAGATAAATAGAGACATATGTATATCTACAGCTATGATAAAGGTATATGATGATAATATGAGTCTCAAATTCCACTATGGACATATTTCAGATATACATATGACACGTTGAAAATGTTACCTAAGATTCTTAATTAATAGACGTCCGTGCTCTCCAATGGGTCAGCTTGGTAAGGCCCTCCCACGTTAATTCTATTTCGTTCTCTGGCGCCTTTTGTGTGGGCTGGTGGCTTGCTCGTGTGCAATAAGATCTTTGCAAGCAACCAGCTGACAGCTTGCAACAGACAACTTGCAACTGGCAACTGCAACTGGCAGCAGCAGCAGCAGCAGCAAAAACAGCGACAACAACAACAATAACGATTCTGTCTTAAGTGAATTGTTGTGTTGACAAAGCAGAGCAAAGTAAAGAGAGCTAAAGTAAAAGTTAATATGCTCGCCACGATGGCTGGGCCCGGGCTGTGGGGCACTCAAGTATTTAAACATTTGCCTGGCTGTAATTTGAGCTGCATGCTTGAGCATTGCGAGCGTCTATTCATATGGCTGGCTGTCTGACTGCGGCTGTCTGGCTGTCTAGGACGCAGTCACATCCTGTGCGTGCGCCATGCCAGACTCTTGTTATTTGTATCTTTAAGATACTTTTGCTGTCCCCCGTTTATTTATTGTACAAAGCAATTTCGTGACTTCGTTGTTTATTTTCAGTCTTTCACATTTCGTTTGACTTGCCCGTTCGACACACATAATGGATGTGCACATATGCAGCACCTGCCCCTTCCCCTAGCTCACCTGATCTAACCCGAGGTCTCAGGTCATACCTACCTGCGCGCAAATGAACTAAGTAACTTGTGAATGCAGTTCGCTCAAAATGGCTAAGCAAATATGCCAAGACAAACTCCTCTTCGCCACGTTCAGTATTTTTGGCTGAGTTCTCTACTAATTTGTGTTCAGTGCTTGGCTCTTTCGAGTGCCAACTGGCAGGAGTTTTCCTTCTTCCATCCCTATCGCTCACGTGCAGCGAAACCCGGCTAAGATAACACAGATCGCATCATTGGCAACGGCAACGGCAACGGCAAATACATAAACATAAGCTGAGCAAGTGAACATGAAAGAAGAAATAATAAAATAACAATAAAAAACAAGAGTGCTTTACTGCAAAATGACCAACAGCTATATACCCTGTAAATTGCATGAAACACTTCTTGAATATATTGTCCTTTTTAGAGACTATCTCTCTCACTCTCTCTCTCTCTCTCCCTCCAACTTATATCGTTATACTTTCAATTACAGTTTGCTGTATGCACATATATGCCTCATTTAGTCAATATTTACTGGGAAACGAAAAAGAAGCAAGTAAGAAAACTTCGCACCAATGCTCACGAGTGTTTTCTTTATAAACAGAAAACTTAATGATGTTGATTTAGTAGAACAGCCAACTGCTCGCCTTGCCCCCTTCACACCTCGCGCTGCCTATTTGCGCTTTATGGAACCTCAGACACATTTTCATAATATGTATGGCACAATATGTTTCACTCGCCGTGCTCAACACTTTAAAAGTTTTTGGCTCAGTCTGCCCCCTTGGTGCCAGGTTCGCGTCCCATCCCAGTCCCAGTCCCAGTCCCAGGCCCAGGCACGGTGCCTGTGCCAGTGTCAGACAGTCGCAGTCGTTTTTCTCGCGTTGGCTCGTCAGTCAACATGATTTGCAAGTTATACAAATTCATTCAGCCGTCGACGAAGGCCAAGACTAAGACCAAGACCAAGACCGAAAGACCAAGACCCAGGGACCACGACTTGGGCCGAGTTCTGGCCCGCATGTCTGCTTCATTAACACCTCTTTAGGGCTCTGGCTACGCTTCTTGTGCTTCAGCGCTCTACAATCCAGGGGCTATGTGTATTTTGGTACCACCTAAGAGACATCTGACGAATCAGTATAATATTTTATAAATATTTAAATTAAGTCTGGGTTGTATTTCTCCCAAGGTAATTACAGCAATAATTTGAGTTTCGTATAGGTTAGATTATTTTTAATCAGATCATCAGACAACTGCTTCAAAAAAGAATACGAAAATTATTTTGTAGGATTTTAGCATTCTAAGTGAATCAATCAATCGATCTCACATGTAGAATATTATATTATATATATTATTTTATTATTCTAATATAAACAGACTTTTAGTTAGTCAATCTCAGTCAGTCCATCCGAGCTCTAGTTGAGTAGATAATCATATTATTATTGTTATTTTTGTTTATCTATAATTCAGTTGTATTCTGCTTATCGGACAGTTAGTCAATCATAATATTTACATAAATAAATCAAGCAGTGAGCTAGAGCTCTTATTTTTAATAATAGAAAATTGATTCCATTTTGTTCAAGTGTATTAAAGTGCATGCGTTGGTCGTTATCACATTTCCTTCGTCAACTTTACAATGTCTTGTGAATTTTGAAGAGTCGAGGTGTAAATTGCTTTGTCGTTTTCTGTATTTGGTAAAGTTCGCCCGTCTGTCAACGACTGCCATACACACACGCACACATATATATGTATATACGTACATATATAGAAACCCAGACACTCAATCGCACTCACAATTAGTTAGGCTGCACTAAAATGATGATTAGAAGTCGTTTCAGAAGTTTGTGTAGCATAAAAATAAAAGAGCCAAGAAAAGTAATTTATGTGAGGCGGGCTAAATCGAAATTCCTCTGAGGCCACTGGGCGAGGAGACAAACTGTGCTAATTAGATTGCCGATAGTATTGGCAGGATATGAAGCCAGGAGGCGTAGGCTGTGAGAAATTGATGCAATGCGTGAGATTATGCGAGTTGGGCTGGCTGCGAAAACTCGATTCAATTCACAGCTGTCGAGGCCAATGTAATGCAAAATGCCTAGAGGTATTAGAAGGAAAACAAAGAGAACTTCTATGTGTGGTAAAGAAAACCTGCCAAAAGAATCAAATAAAGCGAAAGAGAGAGAGAGAGAGAGAGAAGCTACTTGAGAGCAGGCAAGTTGAGCAACTACTTTGGCTGCGAGTTGCCTTCGGGCCGACAGGCACGTCCTTCTTCACCCAGTGATGTGAGCGGCTTGGAAACAATTTGTTCTTGAATAGCAAACCACAGCCCAGTTTTCCACATAGCACCACCCGCATTCTCCAGCCACTCGTGTGCAGCCCCTAAAGAAATTCCATCAGCTGCATTTTGCAGCTTAAAAAGCTTTTTGTGTGCCAGGAAGTTTCGCAACCTTTTGTTGACTGCTGGCCATGGGCGGGTGTGGGGCGTGGCAAGCCGTGCAACTGACATTAGTCGTGCAATAAGTAGACAGCCCTCAGTGACACATGTTTCCATGTGGCACCAGCCACAGTCACAGTCATACTCACAGCAAGGCAGCCAAAAGCCCCGGCCCAAGCCCTGCACCAAGATCCTACTGCTAGAAGTCCGTGCCTGTCTGCATTTGGCTGCTAAACTTTTTGCTTGCCATGCAAGACACGTTGACAAAAGACGACAACAACAACAGCAGCAGCAGCAGCAGTAACAACAACAACAACAACAACAACAGAAGTCGACCATGTTCGCCAGCCAACATAGACATAGACGAATTTATGCTAATCAGTTGAGATGCCTGCCTGCCTGACTGGCTGGCTGACTGGCTGACTGGCTGCCTGCCTCGCAGCACGAGGGTCGCACCGTAACACTTCAAACTTGAATATTTAATTTGAGCATTTCTTGTGAAATTTGAAATCCTTGTAAACGCTGCATTTTTTCTCATTTAAATAACTCTGTGATCTCCCAGATAAGTAGCTGAAGCTTGTTTTGAAAGGGAAACATGTCTCAGCGAGCAATAGTAATTACTGTAGAAGATGAAATACCCTAGAAAAGGGAGTAGATTGTAGCTCCACGAGACGAATAGGTAGATACTTTCATAAGACTAAAATCTTAGATAAGGTTTTGTAACACTGACAGCTAATCACATAAATAACTCTTTATACGAGGAAGTCAGCGCAGAACTGTTTTAAGCTCGCCCATTCCTATTAGATAGTGAAATAATAGGAAGTATGAGCAGGCGATGCCGAAAGAGGTGGAAAAGGAATAACTGCAATAAGAGGTGAATGATGAGCAGTTGGAAGAGCAAGCAAAGAACCTAAAATAATCCAATTCTTGATCAAGTCATGCATTTGCAGTTATATAATATGCAGTTAGATATATGAAGTATCAGTTATAGAATTATATAAGACCACGTATACATACGTATCTACATCGATATTTATTCCATGTGCATTAGCAAAAGAAAATAAAAGAAAATTTCACAAATGCCTCCCGCAGCGGACATAAAAATATATATTTAATTACCAGCCATCAGGCATCAGGCCTCACATGCAGCAGAAGTCTTATGGCATTAGATGATTGTTTATTTGGTGGCCCTCTTTTTCGTATGTGGGTCGATTGTGCTCATGTTCGATGGCAAATTTTAATGAGGCAAGGATTTGGGCATTTTGGGCCGTGTGTGCGTGCTCTGGCAACTTGGGTTGGCGAAGGAATAGTTGCCTGGCAGCAATAGATGAAATCCTCACTTCACGCACCAATTAAGTTCAATTTTCGTTGGAATAGAAGAAGAACGCGGCGAGCATATATTTGGGCAGCAGAATGGGACTTTGACTGGGCCTGGGATTGAAATTGACATCATTTGCCGTTAAAGAGGCGGCATTTTGCGACGAGGGTTGCGCTCACAATTACGCCAACGTGTGTGCGCCGAGTCGGATGCGAATTCGTATCGGATTCAAAAGATTGGGAGCTGCGTTCGCCTTTGCTGTCGGGCATGGGAAATGGGCTCAAGTGGCAGCAGGCGGCATTATAAGCACATTAAATTCTAAAGGCGCCGTCGAAGCATGCCTGAAATGCTGACGATTTTGTTCTGGCACAGCGCAAGTGCTTTTTATTATGCGATGTTTGAAATTTGCGCATGTACTCTCGTATTATTATTGAATATCATTACCGAAATCCCAACAACATGAACAGCAGCAGCAGTTGCGCATTGCACGTGAGGGTGACTCGAAACAGCTGAAAACAACTAGCTGGGGGTCGCTTTATGAACTGCTTGCTGCACTCTTTTCGAGGAAACTCCAAAGTCAAAGTCGAGCAAAGACACGAGAAAGATAATAATAAAGAAAATACAGCTATTTATGAAAATGCGAGGACTCAAGACTCTATCTCTTATCTAAGAAACACTCCAGGTCTAAAGACGCTAAAGATATAAATTTCACTGTGAAATTTCTTTAAATTGTATTCTCGAATATTATATATATGTACATATATTTTAGGTGTTTTCTCAAATTTTACATTTGAAATAACCAAAGCCTCTTATTTAAATATCGCATATTTATATTCGAAATATTTTTGTCAATGTCAGCTAATAGTTTATCGTGGCATTAAAATCTTTGAATCAACAAGAAATGACATAAAAAGAATTTTATAGATATATCCAATATACCTACTTTTCAGTTCTATATAAAACCTCTATTTTATTGTAATCTCTACTCATGTATTATTTTGTGTTTTTATGACTATAAAAAATCAAACCCGACTTCATTCACCCTTCAGTCACATTGCTAGTCAGCATTCGCAAGTAACTCCAGTTAGGGTATACGCTCACTAAACTTAACTCAACTGGGCACATTATCAGCGCCCCAAAGCCAGCAATTTTGCTGCGTTTAGTGGTTTAATTTTTATGTTGCAATTTTTATGGCATTTGGTCGGGAGACTCACTCTGAAGACTTCTGTCCCCACATGCTGTTTGGACGCTTGATGGTGGTGCCTGGTGGCTGATGGCTGTTGGCTGATGGTTTGGTTGCTTTTTAAGTGCGCCTTGGCACAATGTGGTTTGTTATATTTTTATGGGCTTCTGGGGCTACGTTTTATGTTTCATCTTTTGAGTGCGCGTTGTTTGTTGTTTGCTTCTCGAACTGTTGAGTTCGTGAGTCTAAAGAAGCTTCTCTTTATTTAATTCACAGAATGCACAAGTACTTGGCCCTTTGTCATTTCTCTGTGCACTTAACTCAATTTCTGCGTTTGCCACATTTACTAGAAAACGGTTTGCGTTGGCTCATTAAAAGCCATGTATATTGCACCGTATCCGGTTAAGGACTTGAAGGGAACAAATTAAGAAAACTCTCATGGGGGAAGACCGCCTAGGAAGTCCCTGCCCTTAACCCCGTTCGATTTTTGCGTTTACTAAGAGCCCACTCACTGTCCCGAATACATAGTAACAAAACTACCCTGACTTCCCTACTAGAGCACCGTCTTGCGATAAATCTTAATTAAAAGCAGCTGAAAATTTAAGCACAACTCAATTGTTATTCTTAGAATACATATATGTATGTACTCGACTCTCTTGAATATTTGAAATTTGACATGGGATCGAAGTTTGACATGCCTTCCAAGTGTATTCAATTCGTATATTTTTGTTTTCAATTCGGCAGACATGACGGAAAATATTAAATTAAATTATTCACAATATGTTTTAAAATTGGGTTGCTATCTAAATAAATGCCTATTCTGAAATCATTTCTGCTTCGCCTTTTTCGGCAATATATAGGTATGTATGTAAAAGTTGGTAAACATGACTACCATAAGGGAGCCCATGGCTAGAACGGCAGCTATGGCCATAAGCGGAACATCACAGTTGGGCTGCATCAAGGTGTATACGCTGTGCAACATTACCGTGAAAAACTGAATCATTTGAAGAATGGTGATGTACTGCTTCCAGGTGGGATTCTGACTGACCGTCCGCTTCTGGGACGATATGTAGTAGTAGCTGTACATCACAGCATGTACGAAGACATTGAATGTGCCCATGATCGTGAAATGTCCACCATATCCATTGAATCGTATTCCAGCATAGACGGCCACCACCATGATTGAGTGGTGCAACAAATGCAGCATAGTGATCTGTCTGTAGTTCTTGCGCAGCACCATGAAGACGGTGTCCATCAGATCGAGTATCTTGTTCAGATAGTACGCATAGCTCACAGCTTGTTCAAAAGGCTTGACCGGATGATCCATTGGCAGTACCATTATGCAGCTCAGCTTATACGGTTTCAGTACAAGAAGCACGTAGGAAATCTTCGAAAATAAAATGAATCTTTATGCATTTTCATCAACGTGACTCGAGTTAACTGGACTAACAAATATGAATAATGCGCCATTGTAAACGATCTGTATCAGATTGTAAACCTTAAGGACTTTGTTCAGATCGTACGGCTGTCGATGCTCCATGAACTGGCGCCCCACTTTGAGCACAAAGAGCAGATAAGCCGCCACTATGAGTATTGCAGGCCAAGGTCCAACGGCCAGGGGCAGCTCTAAGGGATCCGCAGGTGGTCTATTGAATACCTCAAACATCTTGATGCTTATTCGTAGCTGCGACTACTTTATACTTTGCGTATGTTCGATGGACGAGTTGTTTTGCGACTGTTTCAAAATAAAAGTGATTTTCATTTATATTTCCTTCATGATATATATATGCACATCAGCTTTGTTTGCATGTGTCAAATGTTGTTAATAGCCAGTTAATGCGGACTCGTATACCCTGCGAATCCAATATTTAAAACAAAAAACATAATTTAAAACATAAATTTTTGTAATAGACCCATACATAATGTAATCCTTGAGCAACTCTAAAACCTGAGCCGTTCCAGTAATATCCCTTTCCTTTCCTTCCAGATTTCGCATTCATGCTCTCGATATTCCCATCCTGCATTCCTTCCTTGGGAAGTAGGAGCCTCCTTATGTGTGTGAGTTCAGGGTGTCACATAGTCGGGCACTCGAACCCATTTACTTATTTCATTATACTATTCGCCACATGGTATATTTTCTCTGGCAAAAATGCATATTCTAAGACTAATGCATGTGGACATAAGGGGTTCAATACTAAGACTTGCATTATCATATACAATTTAAATTTATGCCAAGCTCAATTGGAAACTTAAATACCGTCGAACATTAAATACTCTTTTCAGACTGTTTATACATGTATATATCATAAGCAGTTTATAAGACTGCTCCCATGTTAGAGTGAGAGAAAGCATGACTTCTAAATTGACATACACCAAACTTGTAAATTGCATATTTTGGATGGGTCTCTTCACTGAGATATGAAAAGCAAGTGTTGCCAATCGAATCCAAGAGCACAGTTAAATTATAAATGCGAAAATACCTTAATTATATGCAATTGTTTACAAGTACGCGTGCTCAAATCATTAAAGCATTTGGTTATTTAACCGCTTTGAATCACAAGGAAATGTTATTTTTTACGTAACCTATTCAGAAAGGCAAATAAGCATATCATTTCTGAAACTATATTCTGAAATTTTATTCTATTCTAGTCTGACTTCACTGGTTTCCTTTTCTTGGGCAATATGTAAGCGTGTATGTAGAAATTGGTAAACATAGAGAACATCACTATTGACATGGAGAACGTCATATAGATTAGTGGACGCGATGTGTCACACTTTGGCTGCATCAGTGTCCAAACGCTGTGCCCACATATAATAACGAACTGTAGCATCTGCAGTATAGTGATGTACTGCTTCCACCAGATTAGCTCCTTTTTAGTCGAGCTCTGGGCCGCGGCGTAGTAGTAGCTGTACATGATAACGTGCACGAAGACATTCAGAACTCCCATTACTAGAAGATGACCCCCAAAGCCGATGAACCTGATTATGAAGTATCCCGTGATGGGCATATACAGATGATGAACCAGATGCAGAATCGTGATCTGCTTGTTATTCTTGCGCAACACTATGAACACGGTGTCCAGCAAGTCGATGTACTTGTTGACATAGTACGCATAGCATATCATACGATCCAACTTCTTGTCTGGATGATCCAAAGGCACAACTCGCATGCAACGTAGGTTATAGTTCTTATATACAATTAAGTAACTAACTACCTGTAACGGCTTCCGTTCTTGTAAACTGTTTTTCTTTCAAGTTCCCATATATCAGACTTACCGTTACGAATAGAGAGGCATTGTACAAGATCTGTATGAGATTGTAGGCCTTAAGTACAGAGCGCAGATCATAGGCTTTTCGCTGTTCCATAAACTTACGTCCCTTCAGTACAAAGATCAGATAAGATGATACTATGGCCACCATCGGCCATGGACTGGTCGCGAGAAAGAGTCCCGAGGGATCGACATGGGGTCTATTAAATATCTCCAACATATTAATTTATACTACTGACTGGGGAGCTTTAATAAATATTTGTATACAAAGTCTACAGTAAAATTAAAAAAAATTCAACTGTATTCAATCTAACATATCAATTAAAAAATCAAAGTTGAAAAGAAAAACGTTTTGTTTACAAACAGTCAGTCGTTTCGTCTTACGATTGCTCTGTTTTCTTAGTTAATCTATACCCAGGTATGGGCAACTAGCATCACGTTGATTGTCTTGCTGTGGAAGCTCATTAGTACGAACCGAAACATCTGCATAATTGTAATGTACTGCTTCCTCAAGACGAAATCACACGACATTAAAAATTACAACTATAACAAGATATCCTCCACATCCAAGTAATCGTATCAGTATATGTCCCATCGCTGTCATAAAAGTATGATGAATCAGATGACGAAGCGTACTCTTCATGATTTCTTCATGAGATCAAAGAAGATTGTCGCCATCATATCAAGTATCACACAGTATGCATATGAAAAGTATCGTTCTAAAATCCTCTATTCGTTGTCTAATGGTAGAGGCGTCCGGCAGCTGCAGTCGTAGTGCTCTGTCGTGAGTAGAGTGTACAAACAACGACCAGAGGACACGTTCAGTATATGAATATTTTTTTAATCTACTTGATGCAATTACCAGCGCAAAAATCAGCTTCTTTTACTTAACTTGAATGGCATTCTAGACTTTCCTCAGCACTCGGCCCAGCTTCAGCATGAAATAGGCCAATAATATAGTCAAAAGGGGCTGAGGGCCTGTGCTCAAAGGCAGCAGATTGTGTTCCACATAAGCTCTATCGAATATACTCATCATATTATCCCCAACTAGACAGTCTGTATTTCCGTATTTCATCTTCGAAAACTGATGCAAATTTCAATTTTTATTATATGAAACCTCTACTAAAGCCTTAACAAGCAGCTAAAAGACTTTGCACTCATCTTAAATACATATTCAAATTTATGAGGCGTGTAGAGTTGAATAAGCGTTGACATTTAACCTGGTTAAAGAGGCTAACGTTCCACCTTTTAATTTAGTTAAAAATAAAATAAAACGGAAATATTGTTCATTGCATAAGATTTTTTTATGGCAATAGTTAACGAGTTTAATTAATTAAGCCATTTTATTTATGCCCAAGTCGATTCTATTGACATTTTTATAAAGGATATCCAGTGACAAAATATGTTTAATCATAAAATATGAAGTTTCGGGTTTGATAACTGAAAAATTCACTGCGGAAGATAAAACCCCATTAATAAGTTCCTAATAATATGAAGCTACCTAAGATGCGGTTTATGGGAAGGTTTTGCGGGCAAACATTGAATGATGTCTGCAGTTTTCTTAGCACTTTCCAGCATTCTCCCATTGCTCTGCGTACTTGAATGAATAGCTAATTAGCTGGGCGCATAATGAAAAAGTGCCCAATCATGATTTTTGCATAATTTTCAAAAAGCTTCTTTCAGGGCTTCACTCCAGCTGCTGGTCGCCTGGCCACAATGCAAAGCCTTTCAACCCCAAAAATATGAAAAACAAAAAAAGCTAGCAGGAATGTTGGCTCTGGCCATACTCGACTGCATAATACTCGTTCCGCAGTGGATGTATTTAAAAACTCTTTTTTTTGGCTCTGCCACCTTTTGGTAGATCCAGTCGAATATATGTAGCTGACGAAATGATTTATATTCATAGGGACAGACCGACAGCCAGACGGAAATTGCACACAACGCATATACTCTTTTCACTCTGTGCGTTGGTATAAAAACTTGAATGAAAGTGCCTCGCTTTTGATAAGCGAAGCGGCCTGCCTTTATCCTGGTAAAGTCCTTTGTGCGGCTCATCTTCTGGCTGTCTATCAGAGCGACGTGGCATTATTATTATTAATGGRCATCTGGATTGGAATATGTAGTTGAATTTGGATTCGGTTTCGGTATATTGGACGAGCTATAGAATTTTCCAAAAATTAATTTATGACACGCTGCACATTTACCATTTGCCCACACTGAATACGTGCTATGATTATTATCAGTCTTTTCTTTCTCTACTCCCCTCTTCAACACACCCGCTGTCCCTTCCGAACTGTATGTACGTATTATTTTTAATCCATTAAACAAATGCCATGTTACGGGCCCGCCTGTTGTGTCTGTACCTATGTCTGTGTGTGAGAGTCTCTCTGTGTGTGTGCGTTATCAGTAAATGGGCAGAAGGGTCTTTGATTTGGCTGCCAGCACACAATGTGCCCGGCTCTAAGAACTAGAGCCGTGTGCTCTGCTTTCAGGGTAGAAAGTAACGCCTCCATTGTGAATTAGTTATGAGCACTGAGAGAAAAAAATGCACATTCTACTGAAACGTTTTCAAAATTAAATACGAGTATGTTGTTAAAATTAATATAAATATATACATATTTTTTAACACAGATGTAAAAGAACGGAATTTAATTTTTAATCGTAATCGATTTTCTTAGTAGAGATCTAGGAGATAGATAAATATTTTAGTTTATCAATAAATTAAATAAATGTATTTTACTGATTTTTATTATTTAATAGTTTTTTGTAAAAATAATTTAGGATTTGTGTAGTCGGAAGTGAAAATGTGTTTTATATTTAATGTAGCACTCACGACTACTAATATGAATATTTCTTTAAGTGTATCTGCCTGTCATGCAATCAGTCCATTTTGCTCTGTTCGATATGCTTAAGGCGAGACATTGTGTGTTCACGCTGAGTTATCAAGCATAAAGAAATTTATCTGAGGCCGAAAGCAAGAGAAACCAATTTAATGGCATTGAATGTAATCATTAATATCTCAGCAGATATATAATGGGCAACTGGGTAGGGACTGAGTCGTGTCGATCAATTCTTAGATTTTCTATTCGATTTGTTTCAATTTTCTGTGTGGGATGCATTCCAATTGTCGCCCTGGTATTGGCTTTCATAACTCGATGATGATGGCGGTGATGATGATGTTGTTGTTGCTGCTATTCACTGGACAGTGATTTAGCCATCAAAGCCAGTTGGACATCGGTCCTTAAAGCTCACTCGCTGCCATTCACACGGCTCACTCGGCTCACTCAGCTCAATGAGCAGAGAGCTCTTAAAATAAGTACGAACACAGGGTGCCAATCTCCCCGCAAAACTCGGTATATGTTGGCCTAAAACAAAAGCGCTAATGCAGAAACAAAAATAAATGTCGACAATGCAAGGCCCCGACATATCCTATAGCTAGGGATCATTGAACTGGAATACCAGATAATAAAA